TATAAAAAAATATATAAAATAACTTCCATTACCAAAATAGTCTTGTATTTTTCTCTAGGAGTTTAAGGAGTTGTGATATTAATGTCTTTCCCATACTGGCTAGGTCTACATCAGCAAACAGGAAACTCAGTAAGAGCCAAACCATACAGCCAAACTGTACAGCGGAACAGGTAGGATCAAGGACTCAGCATGCATGCTATCATCAAAAGCCAGGGAGAGGAGGATGTGGGGAGTGAACAACATTTCAGACTTTTTTCTAGCCTGGTCCCAGACTGAGTGCCCATTAATGACTGGAACTTGTTCAGTGCGTTCCTGGAGCACCCCTCTTGTTTCAGTTTGCTACCAAAGGAATTGAGTTCATGGGGCCAGGAACTACTCTAAGAGCTGAATCAAAGCATGCTAAGCAGAGACAACTGGGAGATGCATTTCAGAAATGCATGACTGATCCAAGCCAAAATTTGGATATGTCTATGCCCATTACACAGTGGGTATGGGCATAACCACTCTGGAAAATAGAAGATTTTTTTCTGCATAAACACAGGTATTGCCACCTTCCAGTTACAAAAGCAGTTTGCGAAACTCCTAAATAAATAAAACAACAAAATGCTTGAACTGGTTTCTTTGTACTGCTGCAGAAAACAAGGAACTCACCTGCACTAGGTGCCTGACCATGGATAAGTATTGGTGGCTTCAGCCGGAATCCACTGCTCTTTTCCTCTAGTGGCAAAATACAGAATTACAAGGACATAGCTGTAACATACTACATAAAGTCAGTCATAAAATTTCTCATGCTTTCCCCATTGTAACCACTCACAAGTTTTATAAATATCCAAAATCATAAGGAAATTTCCAAAGAACAAACTCCCTTCTTCCTTAAGAAGTCTGAATTTTCAGTGATCATCACACCAAATATACATCACAGACAGAAACACAAGTTGTTGCATGAAAAAAAAATCAAAATTGTTTTCCAGGAGAAACATGAAACAGACTATTTTCACAAGAGAAATGGAGTTCCTTCTGTGAAGGACTCAGAGGTTCAATAAAGGTACTTCATAGAGGTTTTAAGTGAGAATCCAACTAAAGAAAGGACAATCAGGAGTATGACTGAACATGACAACTGCTAACAAGCACCCAACTGCTAATTATCATAAATTAAGTTAAACTTCATTGCCTAATATTAGTTTCTCGTAATTCCATTAGCTTTTGCCTTATGTTTTTATAGTATGAAGGTAAAAGAAATTCCTTTGCTTGTACTCACTACAGTAAGGCTTTTAGATAAATAAAAAACAAAAATCTAAAAAAATTATTCATAAGTCCAGAGCTGTTACAAAATGAGTTCTTAAGAACTTAAACAGTATAATTATAAAATGTTTCCTTTTAGAGGCATAACAGCTGTGCTCAAAATAAGACAACTCAGCACCTTACCATCTTACTGTACTTCATTATTCTCATGCCATTTAAGCATAAGATAAGTGTGCTATACAGCAATAACACCACAACCAAACTGCAGAACAACGGTGATTAATAAACTGTCAACACAGGGTTCACAGGTCATCGCTGAACATCATCATGACCATAGATTACAGTCAATTTGATTTTCAAAATCAAAAAACCAGTATCCAAAGTAGATAAATGAAAATTTCCCTTAAGTTTTATCTAGAGGTTAACAGGTGGGCATAGAGTCATGTTACAGTCTTCCACCACCACTCCCAAAGCATTTAAGAATTTTGGTATTTGTTGTTTTAATCACCTCCAGCAAGCATGAAATCAAGCAATGAAGAGAGCAAGAGAACAGCTGTAAGATCAGAACCATCACAACTTCCATCCTCCCAGATAGGGTTTTACTTCTGAAGTATCAGTGTACTTTAGAGCATGACAGCTGACAGCAGTTTGCTGAGAAAAAACAGAAAAATGAGGAAGCTCACCTGGTTCTGAGTCCGAATTGCCTGTAGAGGGTTCACAGAAGCTTGATGGCATGAAGACATTGTTCTTTGTTACTGCAGTCAGGGAAAAAGAAAAATAAAGAGAAGTTGTGTATATTGTTCTTAATTATAAATTCCATTCCCAGACCTATCAAGACTGCAAATTGAAAATGATTTTTCTAGTAATTTCTTTTGTTTATTTTAGGTTTTTCTTTCTTGTAAACTAAAACAGTATTACAGCCACAGAAGTAAACAGGTTATGTCTGTAAAATCCCCTTAGTTTCTCCTGAAACAGAGGAAGAGCAAATTTATTCTGAAAGGAAGATAAACGCAGGATTCGCGGTCTAAATTGTATCTGAACGAGGAATTAAAAGAGATGTTAGAACATGTAATATCACTATAAAATATGTATAACATTTCAAAAGGCCTCTGCAGAGAGGGGAGAAAGGAGTGTGATGCCTGCTAAATAGTGGAAATTAACACCTGGGCTCCTCAAAAGGTTTAAGAGTGATAGCATAGTTTGCACTAAGAGCTAGGCAACTTATGTTTGAACTGTCCTGCAAGGCAAAAATTCTACAGAAACAGAGGAGAGAACATCACAGTATTTACAGATGTCACACTTAGGGAAGTGTAACAGTCAACAAAAGAGCAAAAAACATTTGAAAGGAACAGGCAAAGGACAGTGTTTCTTTCCCACCCTTTGCTGGGACCTAGAGAAGCAAGTAGTAAGGAGTCAATGCAGTTTATGAAATACGACGATCAGAGCAGGAGGTAGATGCATCAAGAGACACAAGGCAACAAGAGTATGTTGGGGTTGTTTGTCTCTAATCTTGCATGAGGTAAAGTATGACAATATTTATCAGCTCTTTTAGCTTTTATGAGGCTGTGGAAGAAGATTAAGTATGCCAAAAAGAGAAAGGCAACTCATCTCTGAACACCGTTACACTGATTTTGTATTTAAGTTTTTGTATTTAAGTGAAAAAATTTCTGTAAAACGAGGCCATCAAATAATGTCAGCACCTTCACAGAAGTTGCAATTCCAGTCAAAGTTGTCACTGCTTGACAACAACACACATCAGAACAGAACAAGGGAGTCAAACAGCAAATAAATGACCATATCCAGTCAAAGTGCATTAGCCAAGCAGGTGCTGAGAAAGTATACTGGACTCCAGAAACACCCACTATTTAACCATTAAAAGAGCCAAATTGTTTTCCTCCACTTCTTAACGAATGTTAGCATTAACCAAAATCTGAGATTTTAGAGATTCTAATCTCAAAAGGTAAAGGCACTACAGACTAGAAGAGTTAGTGGTTATAGGGAACATAGGAATACAAGGTCCAATAAATAAGGAAGCTCCTAACAGGCTATATACATTCTGTTATTCTAACAGAAAACCTATAGACAAAAAAATCCTATTCATTATTCTTGTGCAAACAGTGTTCTTTTACTAAGAGTGATTGGCAAGCAGACAGCAGCAACACCGGTCCCGTGAACCATACTTAATTAACAGGACTGCAGCTTGAAACCTGCTAAGTTGCACACCTGAAAATCTAGATCTTAAGGAGAAGGGATTCCTCCCCTGACAACTAGCATGGGTGGTATGAAATGAGAATACTGTGCCCATAAAATATCAGGAGCTACATTTTGAATTCCACAGTCATTTAGTTCTTTAAAATTAAAAGCAAAAATAACTAGGTTTTCATCTTAGTCACACTTCCTAAACATGCTGTATGTTAGAGGAATATTTTTTACTGTTCTCTACTGTTTTTCTTATCTCCTTTATTTCAACTAAGACAACAGAAACAAAGTAGTGAAGTCTCCAAACCTGCCCCAAGTGCTGACATCTCAACTAAAATAATTCTCAACCGAAGCTAAAAAACTTATTGTCTGTGAAGAGAGAAGGCATAAATTTTAGAGACCAATCCTGTGGGTGAACACAAATATCAAATATGACCATTCCCTCGTATGTGAACTGCAAGAATTTACCCCAGCCTTCCCAGTGATTTTGCTGCCTCGACTGTATACACAAACAGGCAGTGGTCATTCTCTCTTGCATTTGCCAGGTGAGAATGCTGCTGAAGTGCACTGAATCCTTTCCACTTTAAAAGGAATGGGAGAAAGTAAAGGACTAGAACAACTTAAGCACAACCTGAGACTTGGAAGATTTGCCTGTCAGCAGAGTAACTAAGAAAAAGGTAGCATTTATACAAATTTGTTAAGAAGCAATGTGATCACAACAAAATCAAAAAGATTTCTGGTAAATTCTTCAATTTAACAGCAGAAGATTAAAAGCTGAAACTTCAAATATATATAAACTTACAGATAGAAAATATTTTAAAAAACATATCTATCAACTCTGTTGGGCTTCACTGAATTTGCTAATGCAGACCATAGAAAAAGTCATCGAGTACATGGCTGCTGTGGTCTTAAACTAAAGCACTGCAGACAGTAATAAGACTGCTGACATGACTGGAAAAAAAAAAGTGTAAGAAGGAAACCCACCTCTCCTATTAATATTGTAGCAACATTTACCTGACTGAGAAGGAGGGAACTGAGTTAAGGATGAAGTTCTCTCACGCTTTACAGGTGGACAGTAGCTCCCATCCTCTCGATCAGATTCTGTAGGAAAAAGCAATTAGAGAAAATGCACAAAATCCTGGAGACACATATACTAGTGGTTTTTAATCTTACAATCAAATCTCTTACCATCTCCATCTTCTGGACTTGATCCATCTGCTGATCTCTGAAATTAGATGACAGTGATAAAACAAAAATCACATACTGAACATTTCAATCTCTCTGGATACCTCCAAATGTTTTAATCACTCACATGGAGATTTTTTCCTTTACTGTCAGTGATATACACTCAAGGCAAAGCATTATTTTTATGACATACATGTAGACATACTGAGTTTCACCCAGATGCTATTAAATAAGATTAATTAAAAATATTTCATTTACAAATAAGATACCTGAAAATTAATCTCCAAGCACTAACATCCTTAGAGACTATGCAACAATTACTACGTTACAGTTTTCTATATACTGAAAATCTGAAAATGACAATTTTCAAATTTGGTTTGATTTTAAAAATATCATAGAAGTTCCAAGCTCATCATGAACATACCCATTATTTGGGAGTTCATTCCAAAGCACTTTTCCTAATTAATGTAACTGATATCAGTTCCTTCAACAAAAGGACAGCATTAGAGGAATGTCTTTCAAAGCACACTCTGTAAATCAGTACTATGATATTTTGATAGGAATTAGTAATGGATAGTCTCCTGGCATCTTCCACAGTACCAGCAACAAAACAGGAAGCATCACAGGCTACCAACTATCACAGTATTCAAAAAGCCTCTGAACAAGTTTCACATCTTTTCTGAGGATTTGTAGGCCTCTCTACTTGGTCTACCAGTTCCTCAGCTGATAGTGTCCCTTGTTCAGGCAAAACATAATCCCATGATGGATTCCTTTCACTATGCAAGGTGACCAAGGCAGCATTAGCAGCTCCATGTCATTACAAAACCTCGAGACAACCAGACCTTCTCCCTAGTCCAACACCACCCTTTCATCCCACTCTCCTGCCCCAGACAGACACCTTGCCTTCACACTCTCACTTCAGAGCTTGGCTGACTTGGGGAAGAACAGCAGATCACAGACATAGCCCACTGCAGCCCCAGAGCTCGTCCTTCCCTGTTGCAACTAGTCATACTTTGGCACGGAGAACAGGCAGACACACAAGGATCAGCCAACACCCAACAGGACTGGTTAAGGCTGCACAGGACTGTCATCTGAAAGACATACCTTGGACATAACAATACCAGAATGTACAGAACTTTCTATTTAGCACTGCATATATTTAGAATCTATTACCTGTACTATTAGCGTTGACTGAAATACTGATAAAAACCCATTTACACTGCATTTTGCCTGTGCAATTAAGTTAAAGGGGGTTTCAGTTTTGTTTTGTATTAATAGAAAAGTACAGCTACTTCACTAGCATCCTAGTCAAGTACTTTTGAAACCTTTAGCATGGGAATGAAAAGCTATGGGCAGTTCTGGAACACAACCCCCCAAATCCACATGTATCTGTCAGCCCAATCTCATTAATACTGTATTTGATGATCCTTGCTCTTCCTACGTAATTGGCCAAGTACTCCACACTACTGGAAGATGATCTTATTAGACATCTCCCCTGCCAACATACACTAGTTTCCCGAAAGATAAGGCTGAAGTGGAAAACCATGTCATCTATCTGTTTCAGCAGTCAGTATCTGAAGTCAGGAGAGGGAAGAAAAAAAAAAATCTATTTTGCACAGAAAGTGCAACATACCAGCAGTTTGTTTCAATTTTTAGCAAAAATCCTGAAAGCAAAAGGAAACTGTTTGGTAAGAAATTTTGCATGAATGGAATTGCAGATCTCTATGTGCAAAGATCCATAAAAAAAACCAAGTGATGTCCCCCTGAACTCCAAAAACTTCTTAAGCTGTTACTAATACGTGCTGTATTCTCAGTGCTCGAGTAACACAAAGTCAAACCTTTATAGCACAAGCTTCAAATTATCACATCATTGTCATTTCATTAACTGATGCAAGCACAACTAAATATACCATCACCACATTTCATGAGCAAGGAGCATCAATATCCAAAACCAACTCTGTAACCTACTGAGGACAAAGCAGAGCTAAATACCTACTCTCTCTGAATTACTTTCATGCTTCCAAGAGTTTTAGGAGATTAAAGCTATGCAAGAGCCGACATGACAAGTGTTACAACAGTTACTGACATTGCCAACCCTAGTCAAAGTAGATGCTGCACAGAGGCAAAAAAGGACTTCCCTTTCTCTCAAATGTACTTTTTCCTACATAGGCATCTAAATATCTAGATCGTTCGGTATGCTACCTCCCATCCTTACCCACTGACACACTGCTCACACTGTCAATTATTGCTTGGGAAAGTTGGGACAGACCTTGCAAATAACTCCTACCAGAAAAATGCAAGAACAGATTTAAATCTTTTCATAGACTCAGGAATTTAAAGGCCAGGGAAGAAAAGAGTCATAATCCCTTGGGTTGATCCCAAAGCACAGACAGGCCAAAGAATCTCATTTATGTCTACCTCAGTAATGAAACTCCTGCCTGAGCCTTTAAGGTATTCAGGTTCAATTTTCTGTTTTCAAATGAATGAGAATACACAAGCGTTACTCCACTGCAGAGTCACCAACACTACTGTTTTTTAATTTTGTTATACTCAGCATCCAGTTGAAGACACACATCACCACTCTTAAAGAGCTTGCTGTCAATATTCAGTCCCCATTACTTGGGCATTCACCTATCAGGGCTCCTCAGCCTTGGATAAGTCTCAAGTTTTCTCACTAATGCTTTCACCAATAACCAATTCGCTCTTACAGATCTTGAAAAATATTCCTAAATCCTTCACTGTTAGAAGAAAGGTTTTCAAGAAAATAAAGCTATACGCACATGATCTAATGGAGCCTTATTTCCCACAGATCCTACCTAGATGACAAACAATGTGGAATAACCTGCAGTGAGAATTCAAATGCTTGAGACAGCAAGATGTTTTCTCTCCTTTCTAGTCTGCCTCTACCCACAGACCATAGAGGAATCCAGACCCAAGATCTCCATACCCCTCAGCATCTTCAGTCAAACCTGACACAGAGTTAAAGGTAGATGGCACGGGGGGTGCGGGTACACTGATACACTGTATTAGCATAAGCTTCATTTTCTTATGAAGCCATACTATAAAGTTACCACCACAGCCAGAAGTTGCTTACCAGTGTTGCTTATTTGGGAGAAGCTGGGGACACTAGACAAAACAGTTTACTTGACAGACCGGAAAAAACATCAGATTACAATTAGTGATAATAAACAGCAGTCCAGCTTTTCCATTTCAGGCCTCTCTTTCCAGGCTACTCAATCTGTACTTTACAGCAATAGATATTTTACACAAGTATACTACACAACAGAAATGAAAGCCAGGACCATCTCATCCTATAAGGAACCATTAAGGTGACTCAACTTCTCTCCATTCAGTTCTTTGAAATTAGAAGCTGAAACCAGTAACATCAAAATCCAACCTACAATTTACCCCTCATTTAAGAACAGAAGCCACCTCTCACTTATTCCCTCCTCCCCTTACTTTTAGAAGTCCAGCTACATAAAAGTTACAATTATTTCTAAATAGAGGCTCCTACAATTCTGACTCGTTTCTAATTAACCAAATTACCTTTTTAAAGGCTACCAACTGCTTTTTAAAAGTGCAAATGAAAGTAATTAACCATCTCATACTGAAGTACAAACACTGCTGCTTTACACCCCTTACTTCCTCACACCGTTGTTACAACTAACAGAGAAGAACTTACACAAACTTAACACATTTGTCAGTTTTTGTTTATTCACAATAATGAGCAGAAACAGGGAAGGCAAGGAAGAACTCAGGTAAAGCAAAAAAGGACAACATAATTAGGTGAAATCTCTAAGAGTACACTTACAGTCTTTATCTTTGAAAAATACATTTAAGATGCAAGAAGTCTTATATAAAAGAACTTCAGAGCATGGTATACAGCAAGTCTGCAATCCAGACACACTGCACATTTATAAGCATTATTGAATTGCCATGGCTGTTCCAGAACCTCTTAAACAATGCTGCTGTAGGCTGGCTTGGGTTAGACAGCTGAAAGACATCATAATCAGCTCTGCAAGAGGCCATATCTCTGGCCACACCTTGTTAATGTCTTAGCAAAAATATCTGCCTGTGCATGCACAAACAATACCAAGGGTCTCTTCTTCAGAACTCAGTCCTAATTCATCTATCTTCCCAAGGTCCTGGGAAGATTACACAGAACTTTCTGCTCTGGCAAACCAGTGTGAGCACTCTGAAGCTGCACCAACCTTCTGTATATTTCAAGGTAAGAGACAGTTTTACTCTAAGAAACTGGGATAATTTGAAGAATGCTTGCCAGTGCATACAAAGGCCAGTACATGCCTATACTGAGCACTATACTATTCTATAAATTTAAGTGAGCAGAGTAAAGTTCAAGGATGCACAGGTATCTGTTGTGTACAGCCAAGAATTCCTGCATACATTCCCCAACAGTATTTTTGGTTCTTAGATTTCTTTCAGACTTGCGTTCACCAGGGTAAGATTTTCTGCTCGTCAAGAAAAAGTTTAAGATAACAACCACTTGCTGCAGTTTTCCTGGAAGTCTGGTTAATACAGTTCTCTTGGCCAGTTCTAGTATCACTGGCAATTTCAAATGATGGAAAACTGACCTAAAAGTCTGTGACTATGTTTACCAGCTATATTTTTAAATATTAACCCTTGAAAACTTTAACCTTCAAAAAAAAAAAAAACCCATGAAATAGAAAAACTTCTGCAGCAGATCATCAGGCAACACCTGACAGTCTGGACACTGAAAGGTGCTTAACCTACAGCTGTGTACCTTGTCATGACAATGCATTTGGCACTGAGTTTACCTGAAATGGCCCATTCTTGAAAAGTAAAAAAAAATATTACTGCAAGAAAAGGGTGCATGTACTGTGTGGAGCAGCCTTAACAGGCAAAGGTCTGTGAAAGAGTACATGCCATGTGTATGTGTTCACAATGAGTAGTGTCGCTCACCTACACGAAGAAAACATGGTCCAAACAGAAAGATTACAAACACTTAAATTAAAATGGCTCTAAAAGACTGCATGGCAGCAGTCATTTAGCCATCTAATCTTTAAAAAAATATTTTGCTGCACCATCAGTAGAAAAATCTTAAATTAACAGCATTTAACAGCTTTTCCTACCTCAATGTACTGATTTTTTTTTTCCAAGTACCTAAATTCAAAATTCTGCTTTAGCATCTTTCTTGCTGCTTTTAATCTGTTAAGTACCTTGCAGGTTGGCATGACAAGCTCCTGTTTACATACAGTGGAAACAGAGCATTAGCTGCTCAGTTTGTCAAGCTGCAGCATTATGGCTCAGAGGGAATAAACAATCCTCCTTTAACTGCCTGAAGCAAATCCCTCATATATACCCACTTTCTCACTCATTTAGAAGAGCTCTTAACCTTAGCAACACACAGCTTACACCCTAAATTTTAAAATTAATACTTGATATGTCTTCTATAATTGTGCCCACTAGGGAGTCCCAAACAAATTTCATTTCTACTAATTGAAACAACAGCTTAGAGGGGACTAACACTTGAGATCAAAGAACCACACAGATAGTGAGCTGCACTACCTCAAGTTAACAGTAACAGAGTCCTCCTAGTAAAAGGGACTTTTTTGTCTTTAATCCCCTCAGCAGAAGTACTTGGTAGGTTCACACTTACCCCTGCCAGTTCTTGTTGAATAGGAGCAAGCTGGGCTTCAGAAGCGGGACTCAGGGTAGCACTGACTGAGGCAACAGCGGGAGCAGGGTGCTCAGAGTCGCGCTCACCAGCTGATTCTTTGTGACCCAGACCATGGTGGGGGGGCTCAACCTCTCCCTGGGGGTCCTCGCCTGAATCCGACAAACCTTTTTGCTCTGCAGGGGACTGGGAGCAAAAAAGACAATGTCCCTTCAATGCAAGGCTGCAACATGAGAGAGCAGTCGTCCTAGTGAGAGGATCTGCTAATCCCTTTTTAAATTCCACTGTTTTCACAGCATGGCAGAAGGAATTGCTTGCTGCTTCCCCTCCCCACAAAAACCACCAGTTGGAGCAAATGCACTTTTTGGAAAGTTAACTGAAAATGTTGGTGTCCCAAGCAAGAGAGTATTTTTGCCAGCCACAGGGTTGTTGGGTTTAACTACTACTTTTCTCAAGGCCTAAAGGACAGCTAATTGCTTTTACCCCCAGATTCAGACATAAGAATTAAACAGACAATTACTGTAAATAACTGGCCTTTACTGCTGCTTCAGACCATATTTGAGGGAGGTGGGGTTGATTATAAAATGCTGCACAGAAATTCATTATTATAACATTCACACAAGACACACGATCCTTTCATATTCATGTGATGGTGAATTATCTGAAAAGCAACACCAATGTTTTCTTCTGTAAATTAAAAAGTTTGCATATCTATTTCAAGTAGGGGGTGATAGGATAGCTAGTGCACACTAATGGGATTTGGTATTTGCTGATCTTCTGCCACAGACTCTTTAGACTTCTTCGGATCATTTAATGCTGCAGGTCCCCACTTGCTGAACAAAAATTAAGCATTACCATATTCTGCACACATCTGAAGAATGAAAAAGTTAAAGGCTTTGAGCCTCAACAACTGTATTGTGATAAAGGACTAAATTATAGTCCATAGATAATATGCAGGTCAAGGATGTTCTCCCAGCTGCAACCTGTGGGCCAAGCCTCCTGATGTCTTATGGTGAAGAATCTGGAGAATCAAGCAGTTAGGCAACGATATCACTAAGCAGCACATAACCTTGGCTTGCTCTCAGAAAGCATTCATAGAATGAAGGGATTGAAAATACTCATCATTGCCCAGGTCCATGCAAAACAGAGTAAACAGCAACTTCAAAAAATAAACAGCAGCTTTTAAATCTTAAGGGCCCGAAGTTCTTCAGCTGTGACTTGTCCTCAAACAGAAGCAATTATTAAAAGACAGCAATACATGCAATTTTATCAGCCGGTTTGTTTCAGTTCAGTGAAGTTACTCAAGTTAAACTTTTAAATCTTGCAAGAAATTACTACCATTAAAGCTCAAAATAGTCAAAGTATATTTAACATGGATAACACTATGTCAGGTAAAGCTGGGGATGCTTGATTTTTGTAGTTTCAAAACTTTCTGGTTTTAATATGAAGCTGTTACTAACAGACCCAAACACTAACTTAAAACCCACAGAACAAGAGAGAAGAGTTAAAGAAACATTTGTTGCCAAAAATTAAACTAAGTCTAGCACTCTGCTATTCTTACCTCTTTGGCTCAGAAGGACAGCATGAAAAGGCTGTATGGAACTGGCCACAGCACTTACAACATACCTATGTTAACCATACATAAAGACAAGGAGTAAACACCTCAGTCACCCACTTGAGGTTTTATACCCATTACTGCTAGTCCTTTTTTTATGCTAAGCCTCACTTTCAAAATTAGCAGCATTCCCAACATCACTCAAACTGTTTTCTTCCCCTTCAAGGGGAGACAGCTATAAAATGTACAAGAATTAAGTCACAAGTTACCTGCATCACACCAACCACAAAAGCAAATATGCAAGCAGCAGCACTGAAGATACAATTTTTCTCATGGCTTACATTGCATGTGTCCTCTGGTCCTCTCACTCTGCTACTCCAAATCCTCCCCATGTACCTCACAACACAAACCTCTCCCCCACACCTCTTCAAACCTGCCAAACCTTCTCTGGCCATCCATGGGGCCAGAGGCAGTTTGCACCGAGCAGACAGTGGGGCCATGCATAAAACGGCAGCTCTCCCTCTGCAAGAGAGGTAATTCGGGTCTCACTGATCCAGTCAGGTTTCTAGTTTTCATGAAGCAGAACTGTTTTAACATTTAAACCTCTATCACCTTGTCAGTAGTTATCAGAATTTGCAAGTTTTCGGCTTGGTGATCAGAAGAGAGCCGGCAGCATAACCAACTTTGCTTGGCTTCCTAGCTGAAAGACTTCCAACTTCTCCAGTGGCCTGGAGAGCCAGACCACTACAGAAGAAATGACTGCTGTAGGACTGCACAGATCACAGACCCAGTCCAACTGCCATAGAGGTGATGGAGACAACCCTGCCGTTATTCCCACAGCCTTTGAAGAATCTGGCAGGGGTTGCGAGAAACAGGACCCTAAAAAACACAGTGGGGAAAATGCTGAAAGCTATAACCAGAATAGTACTAGGAAATGGGGATGGGGGACACCATCCTTGTCAACAGCCAGAATGAACCTCAGGATGAGCCATCCATCACCAGGGATCTGGAGGCAACAGGGATCAATTGAGAAACTGTGGACTCTGGGGCTGAAGATGACTAAGATGATTCAGTGTCCATGAGAAGCAAAATAACACATAGGAGGAGGGTAGGGAAGTGTTTCCACATAAAAATAGCTAAATACCTTATTATTCTTCAGCCATAATACACAGAATTTGGAGGTAAAAAGAGCAGGAATATAACTATGAAATCATGAGTGGCATATAGAATGGCAATGCAGTGACTCCCACAGAGTAAGAGCTGGAAGGCCTCAAATTAAACTAGGCTGTAACAAGTTAAAAAAAAACACACACAAAACAAAAACCAACAACCCAACACAAAACTAAAGGAGACAAAAAGCCCATCATGCCGAACCCCTTGTCAGAGGATCATGTAGCAGTTCACGTGCCTGGGTCCAGCAAGCAATTGGAGAAATTCAAAGAAAAAAAAGGAGCCTTACCAGCAATTTAAGCTGACTTCTAGCTACAGATCATAAAATTGCTAGTAATGCAAGAAGAGGCAAGAACATTCAATGCACACTTGTGCTAGATACTTGAAAGTGGAAATGACAATAAATTATTTTGCAAGTAATTCGCATCAATACAGTTTAGAACACTTCAGAGTAGGCTAAGTAAACATGCATCAGATTTTAGTAATTCTTGTAATACATGGCAAGCATTTTAAGAAGTGAAATAAGCAAGGTAACCTTCCAGCATAAATCTGATTTCTGTCCTAAGCAAAACTGGAATATGTGCTCCAGGACTCAGAAAAGAAACAAACCAAAACCAACAATTATTGCCAATCGCCACTTTTATGCAGAAAAACATGATGCCAAGATGAGGATTTATTGGCCAGGTCAATACATAAAGTTATAGTAAAAAAATCAATATATTAAATTGATCAAAGACTACTGCAGGTTTCAGAATTTTGTGAGTTGTGTGAGGTTTAAGACATGGAAGACAAAGCCCACAAAGGCCTCAATGATTTATCAAGCCAAAACTGCTCCAGACAGAAGTTTGTACAGTTGTTCTCAAAAACGCACATCCAAGGGAAACTGCAAGCTCTTAAAATTAATTTTAGTCTTCACTACTGCTTACTACTGAAAGTGTTTTCTAATCTCTTAACTTCATAAATGCTGATCTAAGTTCTTGTTCAAAGTTCTTTGGAGCTGGTGAAGAACAGTTCATCCTCTTCCTTTTTGCTGTATGTCTATATATTTTATGTCTATGATGACTGGTGCCTCTCCTTGAGCCTCCTCTTCTCTAGAGGAAACATTCCTTACAAGTACAGCTCCAGGGAGAACTTGGCAGAAATCTGTTCCTGTCTCTTAAAATACTAAGGCAAAGATCAATGGAGATAATAATGTTCGGAAGCTACCTACACAAATTCACCTTGCTCAGCCAGATCAAACAACATCTATTTTATTAAAACACAAAAACAACACACCTAGACTAAATATGTAAAAAGTCTACTTTGAGATTTGGCTTCCTCTGCATTGCAGGAAATAAGGAAAGACATGAAAAAAAAATATATAAAAGTGAAGATTAACATGATGCTAAAACCACCAAATATAGGCAAGGAAATAACATTCCTTTTTTATAAAGACTGGCACAAACACTCTTGGGTCAGTTCTTCCTCCCAATTCTAAGTTGTGCTATTCATGCCTCCTTTCCTCATTTTACCCAAACTAGCATCCATATCCAATGGCTCAAAAAGACTACTCTCAGTACATCTTTTCACAATCTTTACCTGCTTAGAGCTGAGGGCAACTCTTGTTGGTATTTTCGGTCACCTTTGACATTATCAGCCTCTCTATGCTCCTCTAAGCTTTGCCTTGCACAACCATCCTCTCCAAATAACGTTTATGATTGCTCTTCTAAGTGCAGCAGTGTAGCAATATAGTCACAATTATGAACTCTTAAGCATTTATTAACTCCTTAAGTACACTATTGACTTACAACACAGTTCAACTAGGTCTCCCTAACAAAATGTCTTGGCAGCTGTGCTAACAATGCTAAAAGAGCTTGGAAAAGGAGATATTGTTGCCTCTCCCTACACAAGTTACTTCCGCCACAGCTCTCTCTCAGCCACCATCCTAAACCTACAAGTCATGCTCATAGCACAAACAACATTTTCTAATCATCCACCTCCTCAAACCACCAAAAAGCAGGCATTTCCAAATCACACTACATCAAACCAGGACTTCAAACAATCCCTACTTTACGTATGGTCTAATACAACTTTCTTTTCTAAACTCATGATCTTGCTCTCCAGACTACATGGGAATGCAGTCTTTCTAATCACTTAGATCACTTTTACAACTCCGCATCTATTTTTAAAGCTCCACAGTTAAGACCATGATGACAGCTCTAACAACTTAAGGACATAAATCCTTGTTCACTCCAGAACTACACCTTTACCTTTACAACCCAGGTGCCAGTTATCCCCTTAAACTCTTTGCATCATTTTGTTGCACCACAGAGGTATGGGACATGACCCAAATACCATGTAACTTATCTTCCTTCAGAGCCATCCTTAAAAGCTCACCACTACCATTTCGCCTATAGAAAGCAGCACACCAACCAAAACTAGTTAACAAGCTAGAAATAAAGTGTTCTTTTCTATATTCTAC